AGTAGCTCCATGTAGCTTCTAACTTTTAAACTACTAATAAAGATACGAGCAAGGCCTCACCTTAATACCAAAAAAAAGTTTCTACTTAAGCATTATTTAACAAAATAAAAAATAAAAAACAATAATAATAATATATTGTAGTAATGAATAAAATTTAGAAAGTAAGTAAATATAAGCTTTATTAGTTCTAATATTAATAAAAAAAAATAATTTGATGTATGAAGTTATATTGTTTAAAATGTTAAAAAAAAGAAGTAATAGTTTGATCTTATAAAAGTAAAGAAAGATAAATATTTTAGACTTTAAAATAAAAATAAACTAAAAAAATATTTATATTTAATTTTAAAAATAGAACCAAAAAAATAAAAAAATACAACTAATAATTTTTGTAAAAAAGTTCAAAGTTACAATAAAATAAAATATACAATCAAAAAACCAAAAGATTAAGAAATATTTCTAATATAGATTACAACTAGATTTTGATTAATTTTTATTCAATTTGCTAAAAACTAAAAATTTACTTTTTCTTAAATATCTTAAAATCTAGTAATCAAAATGAAATAACTTTTTTTATTGAATGTATCTTACTGAAAGTTTTATTTAAACAAAATTTCATTTAAATTAAACTGCTAAATGCTAAAATAATTACAAAAAATTATATAGTTTTTTGCTTTTTCAATTTTGAGATTTTGTTAAATATCCTCTGTACTTTATGCTTAGGGTTCTAATTAGGTTGTTTAATTAAATATAAGATGTTTTAAGATTAGGATGCAATTTGAGACCAAGATAGGGTTAGATTTAAAGACCCCAAATTTAGGTTAAATGAAGTTTTAATGTGTTCTGAATATTTTTACTTAGTATATCTGACTCTGTTTCTTGGTTTCGTTTTGAGATAATGTATCCTAGGTAATTTCCTCCCGGTTAAGATTAGCAATTCTTTCTCTCTCTTCTTATATATATATGCAAATTTACCTTAGGCGTCAAATAGATTTTCTTAGACAAATTATTTAATGATTTTTTTTACAATAAAAATATATTAATTTTAATTTACTTCTAACTAAATATAGAAATATAAAAATAACTTTGAATGCTACTGTAATAAAAAACAAAAATAATAATTTATTCGAGTTACAAGAAAATTAAATTACTATTTGTAAAGTGTAAATATATCACACGTTCCCAGTGAGATATTTTAACAAAGGCAATTGTAACCAGACAGCCTTATCGACGCAATTATGACCAACATTAATCTCATCGATACAGTATGGCCAGGGTTATAGTTAAGGTTAGTGTTATAAAATGACAAATTTAGGACACATACTGTTATGTTCCCTTTGATTATCTCGTCATAATTTGCGACTCTTACGCCATTCCCTATAAAAATAAAATAGCTTCCGGATTAAAATTAAATCCTGGTAATATTCGGCCTTAAGTAATCTGGAATTTATGGAGTGCTGGAGAGTGCCTGGATATGGTTTCAAAAATGTTTTTAATAGGGCATTCGGTATCTCTCAGAGATATCGAATAAAACAGTAAGGTATTATAGTATTATGACGAAAGTAGCATTGTGTGATATATAACGATCCAGTGGTTAGATTTGAGCTCTTCAATTTTTAAAGAATCGAATCTCGACCATTGGATTGCAAGATACATCAAGTTGGAAATATTCCCTTCATCAAAATAACTTCTTCATATATACACCAAATATTTGATATTGAGTTGGCAAGATATTGAAATCATTATACAGAACTTTTTGGACATCAATTTATTAAGATATTTCGAATTGTGGAATAGTCCAATACCTTCGTATGCACTGTACCGGTACATGCATTTAATTTTATCTCAGTACTGCAGTCATTTCTAAAATCAAGGTTTTAAAAATAGTTATTCAAAAAATGAAACCTGATGCAACTTGTTAAAATATTTTTATACCAAATTTAAAGTATTTTGTTATATTTCGTTATACTGTATATGGAAAATTCTAGTGCAATTTCAAATAATCTTGAGCAATTGATAGATAAAGCAAAAATTCTAATACTAATTAAGTAATTTGAAACGTATGTCTTGCCTTTTACGAAAAATAAGTACCGCTTAAAGATTGTTCGAAAGCAAGTTTGGCAAAGACAAGTTGAATTCCTATACGTAATTTTACCAATTTATTCTCAGAATAGTATTATGATGCAAGTATTACATCATGCAATTCTAATAATTTCGATATATACTGAAAATTTTTTCAATATATAATAAATTTTTTCAATATATAATTTTTTAATATATACTAGTAAGTTTTTTTTTTTAAAAAAAAAAACCTCATATTTCAAATTTTATCGAAAAAATGTCAAATATCTATTCTGAAGACATTTTAAATAATCCTCAACAAGTTGGATGGGTTGGTGCTGCAGTTATGCCAAGTAATGGACTTGTTTAAAAATTAATTGCATTTGAATTTATAATTGATTCATTAACAATTAATTATCTTTGTGTATAAAAAGGCCCGGTTACCCGGCTTCCTTCAGATCAATGGACAGCAGAATCTTATAACAAACATTTTTCTTCTAAAGTTAATACACCTGCCACTGATATATCATTTTATGAATTACCACCACAAGATGATATTAAGGTTGAATTTGAGAAGCCTTCTTTGGTACATGGGGCTAAGGAAGCTGTCGTTGGAAAGATTAAAGTTTGTGGCATCATTAATATTCTTTTTATTGATTAAAATTTTGTGAAATTTAACTTATATATTTACTGTATAATATAAGGAAACGATCGGTAAACTAACGCGTAAAGAATATTTAAAAGAATCCGGTAGAGATCAAAAAAGATGGGGAAAACGTGAAATTAAAGCTGCTAAAAAGGAAGGCACCATGAATGATAATCGGAATCATACAATTTAAATTTCATATAATAATGCGTAATTTACCTGTATAATTATAGAAGGCGATTGAACATATTGAACATTATTAATTAGTCATTAGCAACCACATACTTGTATATACATATCGTCTAATTAAAGAGTGAGACGTATTCGTTACGTCATGTACACATGATAATATTTATGATTCATAAGTACGCTACGTATTACGTGTAATAAAGATAATTATATCGATTCGTTATTTACAAGTTACGATTAAAAATTATATAAAACAATTACTGAAAAAGGTTAACTGTTAATTAAGATTAAAAATTAATAAAGATAATAATATTAATAATCATAATAATATTAATAATATTAAATCAACTCCACCAAATCATCCTTCGATTCACTAAAATTGCAGCTAAATCATCAGGTAATTTGTAAGGATATATACCATGCCAAAACCAATGGTTCGAACAACTTAATAAAAAAGTTCGTACAATTTTCATGTCTATTTCTATACAGATATCCTCACATCTTTCAAAGAAATTCTGATACCAATCAAAATGGTTTAAGTAAATATGTTGTTTGACATTAATATAATTATATAACATTGTCGAATTGTCTACATAATCTAAATTATTGTCACTAGACCCAAAATTGCCACTCAAATTGCCACTATTATCGTTAGACCTCAAAGTACCACTACTATCGTTAGACCTTAAATTGTCACATAGATTACATTTAAACATTTCAACATTACCAAGCCCGTACGCTAACGCATCTCTTACGGTTCTAATCCTCATACATAAAAGGTCTTCAATAAACTTTAGCACAAGGGTGGCCTCATCAGCTTGTTTCACGCATAAGGTAGCCTCAGTCATAATTCTCGGTATAAGCACATTATCTAAAAACTTGTCATTCCATGGAATTCTTGCGTCATTATTATGATATGGAGGAGATTTATAACTAGGACAATATTTTATCCAATAGATAGCAGGACGTTTATATAACGGGGAATAGACCAATCTTTCTTTAATTTGATTATAACGCTTTGGAATTATTCTTCGTTCCATTTCAATATTTCGATATTCTTCCAACATTTTATTTTTCCAGCTATCATAATCTATCCGAGCAAATAAATGATTTGGTAATAACATTACATCATTTAAAGAAGGGCACATATCTAAAAGGTAACGATTATAGAGTAATTTTCCATTTGGACATGATTCAGAAGCTAAAAGTTCATAATATAAAAGAATTTGACATTTTTTATGATAAATTGCCAAGTCATATAATTTTTGATCAAGTTTTTCACGATAAATAGAATCAATCTCAATTTCTTTAGCTCGTTGTTTTGAGAGTTGTATCCATTCAATACGTTCAGTTTCCGAAAGCTTATCGAAATCGTATTTTGCACGAGCTACAGAATTAGCCCAGAAAACTATATATTCTGAACCATACATACCATTTAATCTGAATTTAGTAAATGGTAAACCACTCGCATATTCAGGAATTTCATTTCCACTATTTAATAAACATTTTAATAAAATTTTTTTTAATAAAAAAACTAATAGATTATTTAAACTTTAATAAATTAATTAAACTTTAATAAATTATTTAATAATTGTTAATAGACTCACCTTTCAACACAAACAGTTCTCTTCATTAAACAATCCCAACATGATCTAACTCGAAATGTCCAATAGATTCGTACATCCCTACCACCATTTTGACCACAAAATTGGCAACCTTTTTCAAGCATTAATATGTAACAATATTCACGTTCATTAAGACCTTCTGGAGGAGGAATTTTAGGAAAGAAGATTGTATTTAGTCGGGAAGTTCTCCAGATTAAATGAGTAGTTGAAGATATGGTTGAAGATAAATAATTATGAAATTTACGACAAGTTTTCAAGAGTGATATTAGATCCCATGGTGTTAGATGTGAACATATTATTATAAAAATTTCAATTGGAACTATTATGAATAAACAATTTTGTAAACTTGAAACGTTTGGTTTATTAAATCTTTGGTGAGAGAATGTAATTGAATTATTGGAATGTGCGGATTCTGATATGGATAAGGATGAGGATTGATAGAATGTAAAAGGACGTATTGGAGAAGTTGAATATGACGAATAATTTTTGTATTTATTCATGACTACGCATATATGCATCAAAGAAATATAAACGCATATATTTATTAATAACAAAAGATCAATGATATCCCTTAATCATGGGGTTTATTATATACTAAAAATTCACATACCGCACACTAATGTGATAAATTTTATGTATTGTACAAAAAAAATGATTTTTTTTCTTTGAATGCTATCGTATAAGTGTTAGAATATATAAATTTCTAAAATACAAGTACTTGTGGTCAAATTTTGGATAAATGAATATGCATACGAATATTTTAAAGAATTTTTTTGATTTAAATTATATATCGATATGTAAGGGAAAATATGTAAAAATTAAAATATGAAGGTAAAATATGGATTTTTACACAAATAAGAATAATAATTGTTTGTAATTAATAACAAAAAGGTTGGGATTCAACTTTGATGAAAGCACCTTGATAAAAATCCCAGAAAAAAAAAAAAAAAGGACTTTTCATCATTACCAAACCTGGAAGTTTTAAACAATTAAAAAGATTCCATTTCAGTGATAATGACCAGTTAATAATTTGTATTGTTATATAAATAAATACGTAACAGAATGGAGAAACAGGTAACATTACATAATACACGTAATACACGTAGTTTTTGTTTATGCCGGGCGCACTAGAAGCAGGCCAATATTAGTATGTATTACGTAACAGCCACAAAAAATTCAAGTTGAATTTCGTGTTTAAATATAAATTTGTTGGTGAATTGCGTATCACAAGTAAAGTATTTTGATGTCATACAAGATCATTCTCAGTTGATTGTTGGGCGTTCACCTTTGAGTTGAGTACTATAGTAATGAATAAAAACGGATATTTTACGGATATTTTGTTATTTTGCTATTTTGCTAGTTAGGCTTTTCATGAACAATATCGATATTAGACAAACTATAAAAACTATAATGTATTTTTATAATTTTTTTATTCTTCACTCGTGATAATCATGAATTTGTTAATCGTAATTTTTCCGACTCAATGTAAAATCATTGTCATGTATTACAATTATTTTAGATTCATTCATAATTGCGATTAACTTTTAGAATAAACAAGAACTTAATTGTTTATTCTGAATTTAATTATAGAATATATATATATATATATATATATATTTTATGATCTTCACTAAATAAGGCAAAATTCTAAATAATGATGTCAAATTAGATTGTTTAAAATTTTATGACGCTTTTCATTCAAGAATGATCTTATTGGTTTTTTAGTACTGCAAACAACGATTGGACTTTTTAATTCAGTTTCGCAACAAAATAAATAAATAAATAAATAGGTAAATAGGCAAATAGGTAAATAAATAAATAGGTAAATAAATAAATAGGTAAATAAATAAATAGGTAAATAAATAAATAGGTCTTGGCTGGACTAAATTAAAAATTCATCCCATTCTTAATTTAAAATAAATAAATAGATATATATTTTATATATAAATAAAAATTAATGAAGGTTTAATATATATTGTGGCTCTTTTTATTATATATCGTTACAATATACTTTTTTTGTTAAATTCTCAGCATTCTAATTATATATATAATAAAATATCACGTATCTGATATGTATATATACGTATATACTTATATATACGTACTTATAGCATATATTAATATTTTATTCTAGGTATATACAATAGGTTGTTGCGAATGTGTAGTCTGTGTACGTAGTCTGTATGTACATATAATTTAAACCAGATTAAAAAGGTTAGCCGTGGCGCGTAGACATCTGATGAATGTCGCAATCTCTCTTAATTACAAACCTGCATTAGCATTGACTCAATTTTCACATATTTGTTAGTGCTCATAGTATGCATAAGGGGGATCAATTAAACTTCCAAACATGAAAGAAAAGTGTCGGTATTTACCGATGTTTGTTAAATAGTGATAAAAAAAATATTTTTTTTTTTTTTGTAACTGTGTACAAAATAGGGATTGGAACCGCCTAAAAATTTTCTTAACGTTTAATCGTTTAACCGTTTAACCGCTTAATTGGGCCGGCATTAAAATAATTCCGGCCCACGACCAACCAACATAATTCTGTCCGGACCGGAACTATGGAGCAATTTTTAAACGGTTAAACGGTTCCAATCCCTACTTTTAATCAAACTTGATGCTTTTGATTTGTTTTTCGTTAAATAATATTTTGTAGTACAAAAAATTATTTTAACGAAAAAACAAATCAAAAGTATCAAGTTTGATTAAAAGTCGAATGTAGGCAAAGTGTTGTCGAGATAATAATCTGTTCTGCTCAAAGCAATTTCCTATCAGTTAAAATAGATATAAGAATGAATATAATTATTGAAAATGTTAAATAGAATAATTTTAGGAAAACGAGAATAACTATCAAATAAAAAAATTTCGGGAATAAACTATTTTTGCAAAGAACATCAATATAGAAAAAATGATAACCCATCATTGTAAGTTAATCCATTAATATCAATTGAAAGAGAATAATTTGTCATCCTATTGGTCTCAATTAAGACATGACCAACATGTCATTTTAATTGAAATAACTATAAACTGCTAAGACTGATGTTGATCCTCATTTTGCTTTTCGTTAACTTTCTGATACAGCCGCACATTCTTGACTTTGCTACATTTAGTTCATTCTTTATTAAAGAGAACCGAAAAAAGTTTTAGAATTATTAGTGAGAAACTAATAGCTAATTCATTTCTGGTCATTTCTGATGTCGTATTCTTGATTTTCACTCTTTGTTCTTTTTGTTCAGTTGACATTTACTACAACAAATTTTTTTCAGACATCATTTTGTTACGTATTAATATATAGGCAATGGGATTTATTTTACATAACCTCAATTTTGTAATGATTCTTTGTGATATCAGCAACTTTTTTAATGGTTTTACTAAAGTTGGATTCTAAGGTTTAAATTATAACTATATCATAAAATAATTAACGTTAATATTTCTGATAAACATATTTTGTATTAATTGTGAAATTTATTTGTTTGGTTAATCTTTTTTAATTAGATTTGTATTGTTGTTATATACTTATTTAACAGATCTTTATTTTGTAAATAACTAACCTACTAACAAGTTTTATAGTTTAATTTACTAATGGCTTATTTCATTTATAAATTGTTTTTAAGAAGGGCTATAAAATAGTAAAATTGCACTAGAAAATTTTTCTAAAGTATTATGACCCAAAAGGTGATTTACTATGTAGTCTTTTTATATATATATATATAATTTACTACGTATGCAGTCTTTTTTTTTATAATTGTTTTTTTTATGTTTTACATGATCCTGAATTTTAATTGGTCAAATAACATGATGGACATTCTTGGCGATGCAGGACAGAAACATATTTTTGGACATGAGTTTGAACCTTTTAACAAGGTAAATAGAGAAATAAAGTTCTTTTCCGAAGATTTACTTCTTACTATTCCTTACCAACGATTACTGCTAACCAAAGGACCCAATTTGATATTTTTATTGACGATCCAGTTAAAGCCTGAAAATAATAAATTGAATTTACTCAAAATTTCTTAAGATAATTTTTCAAAAAAAACAATACATATTTTTTGTATAAATTTATTAATTATAGTAGTTTGCAATTTGAATGTAACACGAAATGTTTTTGCATATTCGTATTAATATAACGATAAGGAGTACGTAACTGTTTTGTTAAACTATTTAGGACTCTTTTTGCCAAACTAAAACCGGATGATATTATCCGCTAAGACGAGTACCAACATTTTTTAAGGCTGCACCACTCATATGTCTGCATGATACGTAGTTGATAATAGTGATAGTAGTGATGGAAGGAACAGGAAAGCATACATTATTGTTCGTAAATGAAATAAAACATGTCTGGACACATCTCCGTAATGAAACTGAAATACCCAATGAAATCCTTCATATTTATTTCAAATTACAAAATTGCAAAATAGTAATGTGATTCATAATTAAATATATTAAATATTATGAATTGATTAGACCCTCCCTGATTCTAATGCTAACAGTATTTCTATGATTAATTAGTTGTTGATTATATTACCCAATCATAATATTTATACCTAACCATAATATCTATACCTAACCATAATATCTATTAAAGTCGGGAATGTACATCTAGCCCAGCTAGGTGTATCCCTCAGAAGATGTATCAGTATAAGAAAATTTAAATGGCCCCAATTTTATAATTACTTATACAACTCTTATTAGTACATAACCACAAATTATTGACATCACTGGTAGATTCTATAACAACTCCGAATTTACATATCGCACATCTACCAAATCCTTTATCTTGCCAGATTTTTATGATAATTTCTAACATTGTTGATATGATTTGATTTGTTAAATTCATATTATCCCCAGGATTAGTTGATAAAGCTTTCAATACTTCGTAAACTCCTTCTCGAAATCCATTACTTGGATTCTTAGTTTTAATCATACGTTCCAATGTTGCTATTGCTACATAACAATTACTTATTTTATCACGTTCATTTGATAAAGTTTTAAGATCGGCTTTGTAATTATTGATTTCTTTACGTAATTTATTTTTAAGTGTTTTTCTGAAAATTTTATCGTTTTTTGTTTTTAGGTATGAAGTATCTGACATTTCTGACATTTCTGTAGCCACATTATCTGATGTTTCGGTATTTTGATAATGCGACATTGGGAAAATTCGTTTGTTTGTGATCGCATTGAAAGATGAATTAGGTATTAAAGGTGGTGAATAATGAATGTTAATTTTTCTATAGTATTCTTCATGTAGTTCTGTTGGAGGTGAGAAACGAGGTGTAAAGTAAGGACGTTTAGAATTTGAAAATCGTTTTTGACTCAAAGGAATGCTATCCATTTACAAATGAATTATATTAGATTGATAGTTTATAATCAGTGTCAAACTCGAATAAACTTTTTTAAGGAAAATCATAGATATGGCTTATATTTAAAAATTTTTTTTCCACTGTTTTACCGAATTATATGCATTGTAATATGATTTGTAATTCTTTTACATTATGAGCTACAAAACGTTTCAAATTGATCATGACAAACATATGATGCAATTTTAATGGGTTTAATGATTTTGACATATTATGAAGTTCCTATATTAGTAACTACTTTTAAAAATAATACATTGATTCGTTGTTTTGTTCAATACTGCAATAATTCATAATTCACTCTCTATTTAAGATGTTTCGAGGACAACAATACTAATATATTTATTGTTACTCTATTATATTATTTTGTGACTGCTACCTTAGGTTACCTTAGGTTATATGAAGTATTATGAATCCTACATAAGCTAGCTTGCATTACATGTATTTAAACTAATTTCATAAATAATAAATGCATAATAAATTTAATAAATACAATAAACACATAATGAGTACGTACGTACATAGTTATTACGCATAACACATACCGATCCAAGACAATATTTTATATATGGCAGGCGTTAATTAGTAGGTAGGTCAATATTGACATGCAACAGTTACTAACTAACGATGTTTACTAACAGCTAACTGCTAAGGTATCATAATACGTACGTCAGTATGTTAAGAAAGTCTTTGGACAACTTCATGTGACAATAATTTCAATAATGACTGCGTCAAATCATATGAACAATGACTCATTAAAAAGGCGAAAAATTTATTAATGTTAACGTTAATAAAAAATTTATACGTATCCAGGATACTAACCCAAAAAATATATGTCAAGCAATTACTTCGGGGCATTTGGTCTTGGAAAGCACTTCAGCTACGTGACATGTGCATTTAGAATCGCTGTCATAATGGATCAACTAACAGCACCCGAGTCTTCTTTAGAGGTTGGAACCGGATGCAAAACTTTCACCCGGTCATTCGACCGTCATTGTTACACGCATTGCAGATCGCTTCCGATATCCTCCAACCCATTCAAAATTGACATGATAAAAAATTTTTTTGTCCATTTTGCAATGTAATACGTATGAAATATATATACTAAGCAAACTTAATGATATCCGTTGAATCTCACAACTTTTATACTGAGTTTCACATAGCAAAATTTATACAAGCATATAAGAAAATAGGTGCTGTATGAATATTAAACTACTAAATCGTCAAGTTTCAGTTTGCTGAGAAATAAAAAAAGTAAAGGTAATAAATATCTATAAAGGTTATAGTATATATTGTAATATTGGCATATACATTTTATTACATTTGGTATCAACGATTAAAAATATCTTACTATATATATGTAATAGTTTTTCACTAATTTTTTATGTAATTTTTAGATTATGGGAAACTTGCTACTTATATAGTTGAGATATGAGCTGGGTATGTTTTCTAAAATATAAATATATATGTATAGATATTTACTAGTAAAATAATAGTCAAATTATAAATGCTTAATTTGAATTTAAGATTAGGTATAGTTTGATATAGAAGCGAAATAAGAATTTGGTGAGTTTTTTTATAGTAAACATCAATAATTTATATTTTTTTAAATTATCTAAAAAAATAAAAAAATATCCAAATTTACTAAATTATTTTAATACTATTACAGTTAATAATAATGTATTTCTATATTCGGATATAATTAATTTTTTTTAGTTTTTAAATAAATTTTACATTATTATGACATTTATAACAAAAATAAAAATAATAATTAATTGAAATTATTTGCAATTAATTGAATTATAATATTTTTATAACAAATTTGGTTAATTATACTTATATTGCAATTAATTTTTAGTCTCTAATTTAAAAATATTTTAAAAGCAGAATGTTTACTAATGACAACTGTACAAAAGCTATATATAGCTTTAGAAACTATTAATATTCACTATGCAAAAAATTTTTAAAAAATTTTACATTTAATAAACTTAAAAGACAAAATACATATTGTATTTGAGTTATTTATAATTAGATAAGTTTTTACTAGTTTGTTAAATTAGTTTGCTTAAATTTGTTAATATAATTATTATTATAGATTTAATAAATAAAATAGAACTATTCAAAAAAAATTATTCTTTAGCAATCTATAGTATTTAAAAATTTCTTAAAAAAATATTTATATTATTTTTACTATTATTGTAGTTAGATAAGAATTTTGGTTTTTACTTAATTTGTTTATAATTACTAATATTATATAATTATTTTTTTGTAATTAATTTTAATTTTTTTTTATTTTATTTTTTTTAAGATAAGGTTTTGCTTTTATTTTTATTATAATTTGTATTAAGAATTTACAAGAAATTTCTTTGACCAAAGGTCAAGTTTACAAATTGTTTACAAAAATGAGACTCAGACTATAGATATACTAAGACTACCTAGTTTAATATAATTTATTTGCAACCTAAACCTATTAGAGTAATTAAATCTTACTTAAATTTGTTAGTTAAAGTATTACTAATTTAATAGTTGATTATATTATTAGTTAAAATGTTATATTTAATCTATTCAGATATACAAATAGATATTTTCTTTTTGCCATTCTTATTGATAGGAAAATATTATATTTATCTTTTATATATTATTGGTCTGCCAAGTTACAAATTCAGTTGTAAGTATATAGTAATCTAGGATAATATATATGTTCTATATTGTTTAAGTTATGATATATATTTAATTAAGTGCATACAGATTAAATAAGTATATTGTATTGATGTTTCTAATTGGTTAATTTTGTACAGTATGTTTCTATATTTGGTTGTATATATTATTTGATAATTTGGAAGAAGTCAATAGAAAAAGGACAAATTTTTTTTAAGTAAAAGTTTTTTTAACTTTAAGCTTAAATATCTTAGCAACTATTTTATTAAATTTGATAATTTTTTTTTTTTTAGTTTTATATAATTTCAAGATTAAAATAAAAATATTTTTAGCAGATTTGATTAAATAGTTAAGTTATTTAAATTTAAAAATTAAAAAATTTTACTAAAACTAATTTGTTCTTTTTCTATTGACTCACTACTATTTTATTAAAAATTTAATAGTAATATTAGTTGCAATTTGGTTAGAATCTGTATATTCTTAAATTATTTAAATAAATAGTTAAGAAATGTATTTTTGTAAAGTTGTATAGATATTTGTGTTATTTAAGACATAGTTGTTAAAAGTTAAACATTGATGATTGAACAGTTTGCTATATAGTTCTTGTAGTTCAGTATTTGTAATTTTTAGTTTGCTAGAATTAAAAATTGTTATATAGTGTTGTTGATTGTAAAGCTTAAGTTTGGTATATTAAGACAAGTTAACTAGTGCTATTGTTCTTTATATTTTTTTTTGGTATTAAGGTGAGGCCTTGCTCATATCTTTATTAGTAATTTTAGTTGTACATATTAATATACTA